AACAAATTTTTGTTCCAAGACTTAACCTCGATACAAGATCCGAATCTTCGTGCTTATGTTCAGAGTGAACAAACACGAATTTTACAGAAAATGGCTGAACAACAACAATATCAACAAAATCCGGCTCAATCTGGTTTGTTTGGACAATATTTTAATGATCTTGGTGGATCTGGAAGCAGTTTACCAGATTTTTATTAATCAGTTGTTGTAATAAATTTATTTTATGTTATTTGTAATTTCAATATTTTTTTATGTATTTTTAATTTTATGTTATTTCTAGTTTCAGTTAATCTTTTTATATTTTTTTATTTTTTATTCTCAAATTTTAAATCTATCTATATTTAATTTTAAATTAAATATATATAATATAAATGATTAAATTATAAATAAAAAATATAGTTTTAAGAATTAATGAAAAGTAAAGGACTGTATCTTGTAAATAAAAAAATTCACCTGTAAAATGGAGTTGAAAATGAGGTTACTCCATATTTGGAGGAAAAAATGGCATTCCTCTATTTTGCAGGTGAAAATGGGGTAGGATTGGAGAATAATTTTCTCAAAAACGGCATTTGGAGGAAGAAATGGGGTAGGATTGGAGATGCCCTAAGAAGGCATAGAGTCTCAATACCAGCGAAGCCCTGCCAAACTCCCGTCGTTGCCCACAACCACCAGAGTTGGCCAGATCCACCGGAAGAATGAGAAAGAGAAGAGGTGGAGACAATTCCAATGAGCCACCTTACGAGCTAATTTTCCGGTGATCCAGAAATCACCAGGAGGCGAACTATCCACCAATGCAAAGCTTTTGAACCCAGATTTCCAGCCGATCTCCATTCTGATGTTTCTTTCCGGCAAAGTTTCCATCAATCTAAAACCCTAATTCTATTTTAGAGAAGTTTTCTTTATGATAATTTCCACGTATAGGAAGTCTATTTATGGGAAGTTCATTTATGGCAAATCTATTTATGAATATTTCTTTTTCCAATCGCAGTTTCCTAAAGTGGCATTTCCCCAACTGCAATCTCTTTGACTATTATTTCTCTAATTACTATTTCCACGTTCTATTAGATTAAGATGAGGACTAGTTTGTGAATTCTTAAGATGCATTAGTTGAATTAGGAATATGTGTATGTTTGATATCAAGATAGGATATAATTGATGATTGATGCTGTTGCATAATGTATAATTATTGAGGCATGATGATTTAGTTATTGATTATCCAATTTTTAGGTAGTGTAGTACTAATTTTTTTTAAACCGCTGTGGACCCGGTGCGACCGTTGTGTACAGTATTGTTTGACGGTCTACAACGAAGGATGTGAAGTTGTAGTGATCAAGAAAAGGCTGATGAGCCATTTTTAAACCCTGTAGAGGGCTGTGGCACCAAGATTAATTGTTGAGTCCTTGATGTGTGTGTGGTGTGTAGAGAAAAAGTTGTACCCTTAATAAAAACAATGAAGCCACAAGTACACAGCTCATCAATTATAGTACTTAGGGATCGAATCCACAGGGAAGGAGGTTTTTTTTGAACAATCTTTGAAAGAGATTGAGTAAAGAAGTCTAGAACTAATTGAATTTAAAGGGATTTTTGGTGTCACAAAAAAGGTAAATCCTAAACTAAAAGGAAAAAAGGAAAATAGCTTAAGAAAATCGATTAAGAAACTAAGAAAAGAAAAGTAAGATTGCTTGAGAAAATAATAGGCGAAAAGACTATAGAAAAATGGTGATGGGTTGTTTGGGATATCTCCGGGGTATGATCGATTCAAAACATGTTAAAAAGCAAATAAAAAGATCCTAGCTAAAACTCTTAGAACTCGAGCACGGTTGTATGATTAAGTTACTCTCATAATCATAACCAACTGCCACACACGACCCTGACCAGTAGCTATTATATCTGGCCCCGATAACAGGTGCACGCAATAGGAGAATTGCTCTTCTAAAACTAGATCAGAAAAATAATAAAAATTCTTGCAACACTAAATATCTAAATCTGACGCTACTCTCATGCATTAAAAATAAGTTTAGAAGAAAGAGTTTTAGGATTAAGCTTAATAGCACATGCAATCCTCATCAAACATATAGATCCCCTTCAATTAATCCCTTAAACCCAACAAGTAAATTAGTCAGACATAATAAAGAGAGCAAAAACATTGTAGAAGAAAGCTTTGAAGAAATCGATATTTAAAAAAAAAAAAGGTTCAAGAGATAGATCTTTATCTCCCTAAACCTAAAAATACTTAGTATAAAAAACCTAAGACAAATTTTGAGGTACTAAAAGATGTAATCTAAGCACACAGTTTATGGTTCTTAAAACATGTATTTATAGGTCTTCAAGGCATGCTTTGTCACCACTTAGGGTTTCTTCGAAGACAGGAATCAAACAGGCTTGAAATTGGGCTTTGGGGTTGGACATTGATTGGCTGCGGTCAGGAGCTCTCTGGCCGTGGTGAATAATGTGTTGGCCACGCTCAGGATGGTTGGCCGGCTGCTTGAATGAGTTCTTGATCTTCACATAACTTTAGGTTGAACCGTTGGATTGTCTTCATGTAAAGTATGCCTGAAAGCTAGCTGATCCATCTTTAAGGTCTCTAAATTTGAACTGGACCAGCCGGTGAGAAGGTCTTCAGTTGATGGTGAACTTCTGATGGTTTGACTCTGAGTTGAAAATCTGGTATTCTATCCATTTTGCAAAGCTTTTGTCTAAGTTTCTTGAAACGAGTATTGAGACTACAAATACTCAAAAACCATAATAACAATGCATAAAGAAAATAAAAATCATTAGAAAGTAAAATGATCCATACAGGTGGTAAAAAATGCTGCTATCAGTCTTGTGGTTGCGCGGAGGTAGTAATCGTCAAACCCATTTATGGGCTATGACAGAGAATGAGTACATGGGACACGAGATACTTGGGGAATGTGGAGAGTCTATCCTGTTTGAGTTCTTGTTGCGATATTATCCAGCTGCAGCGACCAAGCCCTGCATGGGTGATGGCAAAGGATTAGTCTGTGTGGGTGGTGGTAAAGAATTATTGTGAAGCCCTGTGTGGGTCGAGACAGAGAATGAGTACCTTGGACAGTGGGTCTTTGGAAATGTGAAATTGACTCGCTAAGTTGATTGTTATGAATGAATTAGTGTTTGTCTTTATTTCGAACAATTAGTATCATATATATTATATAATAATGTTAGTTAGGGTGGTTGTTGTGTGAGTCTAATGTCTATATTACATATAATCGTTATTGTTATTTCAAATAATGTCAAAGAGTCTTGTGTGCCCAATGTACACCCTCGCTAAGTATTCCTAAAATGCTCACCCCTCATTTCTCTTTCAGGTATTGTTAAGAGATCATTTTGGCGTAAAGTGCAAGTCAATTCATTCGTTAGGGTTTCCCCGGTTTTCCTTGTCTCAATTTTGTGAAATCTCAAACCTAGGGTTTTGACTCAATTTTTTTTCCCCCAAGCAGCAAAACTTTTAAAATGCCCATCACTGATTTTTGGCCCAACTACCCAAGTCCAGCAGAAAATCCCTAAGCCAGTTATAAAGTATCCACTTGTTAGGTATTGTAGTACTTATTGTTAAACCGTTATGGACACAGTGCAACCGTTGTGTATAATATTATTTGATGACCGACAACGAATGACTGAATTTTGTGAATGTTTAGTAATTGAAAAAGGGCTGACAAGTCATTGTCAAACCTGTAGAGGGATGTGGCACCAGGATTAATTGTGGAGTCATGTGATTCGGTGGAGGCATTAATCGTCAAATCCATTTATGAGCTGTGGTAGAGGATGGATACCTAGGACGTAAGGTTCTTGGGGAATGTAGAGAGTCTGTCTTGTTTGAGATCTTGCATTATAACCACATTTAATAAATTGATAAGACAAATTTCATTTATTTGATAATAATACATTACATTATTAGTAAATTAAATATTATATTATGAATCTCGTGGGCACTTTTGCCTATACCTCGCTGATTAACTTTGTTTCTCACCTCCTTTTTTCCCTTTTTTCAATGTAGGGTTTAAAGGCGTTTTGCATTGGAGTGCAAGGTGGATGTTTTCCAGGATTAGGGTGTCTCAAGTTCTCCAACCTTGTCCTCTATGTGGCAACGTAAATAAAACAAGAGATCCTCTCTTCTTTGCATGCCCATTTTCCTTCACGATATGGCACTAGCTTTGTTTGCTTCTTCTCGGCTTTCAAATCAACCCTGACTGGCTACTCACCATCCGTTCAGTGACACGTAATCGCTTGAGCAAAATTGACTCGCGCTGCTGGGTAGACTGGCGCTGCAAGCAACAGTCTACAATTTCTGGAAAGAGAGAAATGGAAGACGTTACAGCCGCCCTCACCACTCTGCTCTCTAACTCACCCATTTTATTGACAGAGACATTCGAACTCACATTAATTCTCTGCACAAAGGGGTACCGGCACAGAATGCATAACTCTTGAACCAATGGCGTAATCTCAGCAGCATTCATGACAGTATATCTCTTTTTGATTTAGTTAAGTTGAATTCTACGGCTCTGCTTTTGTTAGCTCTGAAGTCTTAAGCTCGGTTTTATTTCTGCTTTTACAGTTATCTGTTCAACTTATCTAAACAGTCTGGTTTTGAATCTCAAACGCCAAGTTATGTTTTTTTTTTTTGTTTAAATTATGTAATTTTTTCTTATGTGATAAATAAGTTTTACATTTCAACAAAAAAAAAAAAATAGTTCCAACTTTCAGTAGTAAGATAAAATTGAAACACAGGAACCTAGTTAAAACTCACCGCCGTTTAGTGATATTGGTTTCGCATTTTATGAGATGGGACGATAAAGAACTTGTCACGGTAGTTTTTTGAACATTTTGAGTTTTTTTGAACATTTTGAATTTAAGGTAAAACAAAAATTGATTCTTCCTTAGAGTTTTTTGAACCTTTTGTTCTTCGGTAGTCCTAAAAGATTTGAACATTTATTTATACACACATATATGTATTGTATATTTGTAATAAATGAAAAATCCCATCATTGTGGATCTATGTGAGAAGTATGTGGAAATCTAAGAAGAAGTTTAACACGGTAAGTTGTTACAGATTCTTCTTCATAATAAATTTTAGCAAATATGGCGATTCCACGAGCAAAAGCAAAAGCTCCTGTCCCTCCAACAACCTCCATGACCTCTTCTAATTTATGTGCCATGTCTCTGCTCCTAATGCTGACACTTCCCGTGTACTCAGGAGTCTCCAACGTCAAATATATCACGTTAAAATTCGAGGTAGCAAAGTCTTCATGTGGGATTACAAATCCCTCAGCTTTTCCCACGATCCGAGAATTGTTATCGGCTCCTTCCGTGAGCGTACGCCGGAAAATCAATGCTCCTCCTCCTCCTCCGTGGTGGGTCCGAGCCATGCGTTGCGTGGACCGGCGAGAGGAGTAGGATGACGATGGGATGTGGGCTTGTTGAACATAGAGTGAGAAGGAGAAGAGTGATTCTGGTGGGTCGTAATCCGGAACGGGTGAGAATAATGCGAGTAGAAGGACGACGATGATAGATGCGACGACGGCGATGAGGAAAATGATTCTAGTTAACATGGTGGAGAAGAAGGGACAGAAGAAGAGTTTCTAACTATTTATTAAAAAGGTCTTTGGTTTTAAAGTTAAATTAGTGATTTTGGTATAACCACTACTTCCACAACATAACTAAACCATTACTTTACTTTGTCCTCACGTTGTTTTTTTCTCCTATAGTAGACCTCTGCATTCAATATTTCGGTTTAGTTTAGTTCGGTTGTTTTAGATTTCGTTTTTTTTTTCTCTTTATAAAAAGTTGGTGCAGGCTCCAGCCTCCAGATTATAACCACATTTTCTTTCTTTGATTTCTGATAAAGTTTTTGCAAAATAAAATACTAGAATAAAAATAATTTAAACTAATATGATATATCATTTTATCATTATTAATGTATTTGTAGTATTTATTCAATTAAACATCATGAATTTTGAAATATTTTTATTTATTTAATTCAAATTTCTTAGTGAATATTTGGTTTGCTCGGTATAAAAGTATTATCGTACGGTTATATAATCAAGTTAATTCAGTTTCGTTTTGATATAATTTGCTTTTTCATGTTCAATTTTTGTTTGATAATGTGACAAGAATCCTTTAGAAGTTGTGAAAGGTTCCTTATGTTTTATATCAATAGAGAAGCTATGTCTTATATACACAATACAATTAACTTAATACTTGACAAATTATCAATATGGGACAAATACAATAAAGATAAATATAATAAAGCTGAATATGACCCAATAAATATGGTCCAATACCCCTTCTCATAGTGGAGTGTGGAGGTTACAAACAGCTAATTTACCAAGAAAATCTTCAAACTCCTTTCGACTTAGTGCCTTTGTCATTATACCAACGAATTGAAATTTAGTGGAAACATGTTTTGTAGCAATGGTACTACGAAAGATCTCATCCCGGATAAAATGATAATCCTACTCAACATGCTTAGTACGAGCATGGTATACCGGATTAGCTGCTAGTTTCAGAGCCGATTGACTATCTGAATGAAAGATGATGGAATAGTCACACGAGATACCAAGAACCAGAAGTAGCTGTCGTAACCAGAGAAGCTCTTGAATTGTGTCTGTCATCGCTCTATACTCGGCCTCAGTAGAAGAACAAGACATAACATCATGTTTCTTTGTTTTCCACGATATCGGAGAACCTCCAAGTTGTATAAACCAACCCGTTAAAGACCAATGAGTAAGGGGACATGAAGCCCAATCGGAATCACACCAAGCAGACAAAACAAGCAGTGTGCCAGTCTTTAGAATAATACTTTGTCTGGGACTTTGTTTGAGATATCGAACCACATAAAGTGCAGCTTCCCAATGAGCAGGTTTAGGAGCACTCATAAACTGAGAAATAATATGAATAGCATAGGATAAGTCAGGACGTGTATTAGTCAGATATATAAATTTTCCAACCAAACGACGGTATGGAGCAGGAGTCGACATAATCGTGACATCTGCTAAAGCAAGCTTGTGATTCTGTTCCAAAAGATGAGTAGCCGGTTTAACACCAAATAAACCTGTTTCAGTGAGGATCTCAGGTGCATATTTACGTTGACACAATTACATACCAACTGGACTTCGTGCGACTTTGATCCCTGAGAAATATCGCAAAATGCCAAGGTCTTTCATATGAAAACACGAGCTCAAATAAGTTTTAAACTCGTTGATTGTGCCAAGCGAGCTACCAGTGATGATCAAGTCATCAACATAAACCAGCACATGAATGCGAACAGACTCCTTCTCAAGTGTAAACAGAGAGTACTCAATTACGTCATGATGAAAAACTGTAAGCTTCCAAAGCTGATGCAAGCTTCTCATACCAACATCGAGGAGCTTGCTTTAAACCATACAGCGATTTTCTTAATCGGCAAACTTTCGTTTTTTCATTCATCCGGAATCCATGAGAAAAACGAATGTATACCTCTTCATCAAAATCTCCGTGTAAAAATGCGTTATGGTCATCCATTTGATGCACTTCCCAATCAAGAGAGACAGCTTAATGAAGAAAAGTACGAATTGTTACCATATTAGCAACCGGAACAAAGGTCTCGTCGTAACCAATTCCCTCAGTTTGATTATTCCCAAGAATGACCAAACGTGCCTTGTATCGTTCCACCGAACCATCAGATTTCAATTTAAATTTGAAAACCCACTTACAGCAAAGGACAATTTTTTTGGGAGGCAAATCCTCAACAGTCCATGTACTTGATCTTCCAGCGAGACAACTGATAACACCGTATTTTGACCAGTTTTATGGATCATTTTGAAATACTTTTACTATGTTTTTAATTGCTTTCAAGTACTTGTATTACGTTTTTCTAGTATTTGTAGTTCCAAGACTCTTTCAGGAAACTTAGGGAAAAGCTTAACAAAATGGATAGAAGACCAGATTTTTAGCTCAGAGTCAAAGTGTCAGAAGTTCACCCCCGATTCAAGGCATTCTCACCGTCTGATCCAGCTCAAATTTGGAGATCTCAAAGATGGAAGTATCAGCTTTCCAGCACACTTTACAGCTTGGCAATCCAGTGGTTCAATCAAAAGATACGCAAAGAACAAGATGTCCCGTAAACCAGCCGACAAGCACTTCCACCCGCGGCCAACAGCCAATTCACCACGGTCAGAATTATCCCGACCGCGGCCAACCACCCATGCTCCGCGGTCATGCACATCCCGACCGCGGCCAGCCAACTCCGAGTTCGAAGGTCCATTTCTGAAGTCCATATCATTTTCCCAGCCTTAATTCTGGAACTCTAAAGACCAAAGAGCATTGGAGACTATAAATACATATCATTTAGGTCGTTTTTAGAGAGAGAAGAAGAAAGACGAAATACTTTACAGAAATTTTACTTTAAGCTTTGTTTTTAGGTTTTATGGAGAGAGAGATCTATCTCTTGAACCTTTGTTCTTTCTTTTTAAATTTCGATTTCTGTTCTACTTTTTAATACTATGTTTTTGATTTTGTTTATCATGTCTGAGTAGTTTTATTGTTGGGTCTAAGGGATTTTCGATGGGGATACATATGTTCGATGAGGATTCCATGAGCTATTGAAGCCGAATCTTAGAATTTTTTCTTCTGAATTTATTTTTACTACATGAGAGTAGCGTCATGAACTACAATCTGATCCAGATGCTTGGTGACACGAAAGTGTTCATCCGGTGTCAGATCTAGTTTAGGAGAGCAAAACAAATATAGGAGTGAAAACCTACCTATAGGCGATTTGTGAATGCTAACGAGTCTTAAACATAATGCATCTTTTCTCTTCCAGGGCCAAAGTGGAAACATACTGGTCAGGGTTAAGAGAGATAGTTGTTTATGATCACGACAGTTGCGTATTCATACGTCCGTGATTCTAGTTCGAAAAGTTTAAGCTAAGATCTTATCAAATTTACTCTCTATCAATGTTTTGAATCGTTCATACCCTAGAGAAAACTTCCCTGAAACCCAACACCTCTTTTCTATAGATTTACACCGATTTTTATTCAAGTTTTAGTCTAGTATTTTCATTTTTTTAATCGATTTTCACTAAAGCAATTAGGTATAGCCGTTTTTCTCGTTTTTAGTCGTTTTCGTTAAGTTTAGTTATTAGGTCATTTTAATTCTCGTATTTTCTTGTTAAAATTAGTTTTTACGTTTTCAAGACACCATCAAAACCCTCACAAAAATCGTCTGGTTCTAGACTTTCTTACTTTATATTTCTTTCAAAGGCTTTTGCAGAAAAGATCCTCTTTCCCTGTGGATTCGATCCCTAAATACTACAATCGATCAGCTGTGCACTTGCGGCTATTGATTTCATTTAGGGTAAACCTTGACACCCTCAAGACACACCACATCAAGTTTTTGGCGCCGTTGCCGGAGAAAGCACGCGTTTTCTTTTCTGTAACACCCTAAGAAAAGTTGGTAAATCGACTCTAGAACCCTTTTTCTACTTATTTTCGTTTCTGGTTCTTCTTGTTTCAGGTTATGAAGCAATGAACCCTATGAAACAAAATTACTACTATAAGGGAGGTTTTTACAACACTCCTCAAGCCACTCGATGCCGAGAAGCACAATACATTCGTGATCTCTCCTCAATGGATCAGAATTCAATCCCGAACCACCACACAAGAGGACTTCGCAGCCACAACAAATCAATTCACGAAGTTTTAGAGGAACAAGGATTCTACAAGGACCACGACCCTTATTCAACTTACAATGCCCACAGAGATATCCATGATCCTCTCTTTGATGAAGATATGTTGTCTGTCTCCCAAACCGAGATTGATGATATGCTTCAAGAGCTCAATGAATCTATGGATGACGGGTATTGGGTAGCTTGTGAAGCAGATGGAGAATCCTCCATCAAGTTTGTTAGAAAGAGGGCATGAAATGAAATTCCTTTGGATCATCACGTCATGTAAGCCAATCATCAAGAAAAAGGAGAACCTATTCCTATCTCTAGTGACGATCTCGTTTCTACCGATTCGTTCAAGTGTTTTGGAAACGACAAACAAGATCATAAGTCACTTTGATGAACCAAAGCCTTTTTCTCCTTCAGCTCCTCACAAACTTGACTGTGAGACAGGCCACATGAAAGATGAGAATCTAATGGTGACATCAAAACCACCATTGGAGATTTCTAAGACGAAGGATCCCGAGAAGTTTGATGCCCCATTCTTGATCAAGGGAGTGGAATTTCGTGATTCTCCTTGTGACATTGGACCTGATGTGAATCTCATACCAAAGACCATTGCAGAGAATATAGGTATTTTGATTTTTCATCCCTCTAAGATTTACATTCACTATGGAGGTTTTTCTGGTGCAGCTCCACTCGGTTTCAAACCCGAATTGCCTTTTCAAGGGGAAGTTTGTCTTGTTTCTACTAATTTTCATGTTATGGAGATGAGAAAGGATAGAACAAAACCCTTGATATTTGGTACTTCGTTCCTGGCATCTGTTGAAACACTCATCGACTACCCGAATCAATGTATGAGTTTCACAAAGATCGATAAGAAAACCTCACATCCGGCGATTCCTAC